TATTCTGTACTCTTTTGGGTTTCCTTGGACTGTTTTTGTGGATGGTTGATTTTATTTTTTGCCTTTAGTTAGTATTTGGTTGGTCTGCTTTCTTTGCTGTGATTTTATTTTCTCTGGTGACATCTGTTTAGCCTTAGGAGTGCTTCCATCTAGAGCAGTCCCTTTAAAATATCCTATAGAAGTGCTTTGTAGGAGGCAAATTCCCTCAACTTTTGCTTGTCTGGAAATTGTTTAATCCCTCCTTCAAATTTAAATGGTAATCGTGGTATATACAGTATTCTTGGTTCAAGGCCCTTCTGTTTCATTGCATTAAATATATCATGACATTCTCTTCTGGCCTGTAAGGTTTCTGTTGAGAAGTCTGAAGATAGCCTGATGAGTTTTCCTTTGTTGGTGATCTTTTTTCTTTGTCTGGCTGCTGTTAATACCCTGTCCTTATGTTTGATCTTTGCCACTTGAGTTATTATATGTCTTCATGTTGTCCTCCTTGGGTCCCTTGTGTTGGGAGTTCTGTGGGCTTCCATGGTCTGAGAGACTATTTCCTTCCCCAGCCTGGGTATGTTTTCAGCCATTATTCCTTTAAAGACCCTTTCTATCCCTTTTTCTCTCTTCTTCTTCTTCTCGTACCCCTATAATGTGAATATTGTTCTGCTTGGATTGGTCACACAGTCTCTTAATATTCTTTCATTCCTAGAGATTCTTTTATCTCTCTCTGTCTCAGCTTCTCTGTATTCCTGTTCACTGATTTCTATTTCATTGACAGTCTCTTGCAGCTCACCCAATCTGCTCTTAAGACCTTCTATCGATTGTTTCTCCCTCCGACTTCATCTCTTAGCTTTTGCATATTTCTATGCAGGTCCATCAGCATGGTTATGACTTTTATTTTGAATTCTTTTTCAGGAAGATTGGTTATATCTATCTCCCCAGGCCCTCTCACTGGAGTTATCTGAGTGATTTTTGACTGGACCAGATTCTTCTGCCTTTTCATGGTGATAGAAGTGGTTGCAGGCAGGTGGCTCATGTGTCAGCTAGGAGAACAAAGTCCTTTCCTGCTCGTTGGTCACCTTGCCCTTCTCTGCTGCCTGTGCCATTTACCTGCACACAGGGAGCGGGCTCTGGGATAATCTCCTGAGCTGCTGTGAGCTGGGCAGCCCTCAGGATAGCCTAACGTACTGCAGGGGGTGGCAGACATGCCATATGTGTTCTCCTGCAAGAAGAGTGCCCCTTTGTGCCTTCCAGACCTTGCTCTGGCTTCCTCTGTCTGTTCCGGTTAGCTGCGTGCTGGGAGGAGACTCTGTGTGGTTGCTGTCAGCGGGGCTGTTCTCCAGCTGCTCTGCAGCTGTGGCGGGTCAGCCGGTTTGTTTGCAGTGCTGGCTGGGGGGAATGAATGGTAGGCTGCTTATGGCCATGAGGGGGAACTCTGCTTTACCCCCACCCCCCCAGGGGGTTAGGGGGCCTGAAGTTCCTCAAGATTCCCAGCCTTCTGGGATGAGTGTGCTGGGATGATTTTGTCTAGCTGTTGAGCCCTTGTCCCTTTAAGACTTTTAAAAAGTGCCTGCTTTTGTCCCAGGCTGTGGGGACCTGCTCTCAGTCTCCATCTCGGATTTTACTTTTCTGTTTCCCTAATATCCAGCACACCATGCAGTGTGTGTCTGTGCTCCCGGTGCAGATTACTAGGGCTGGTTATTTAGCAGTCCTGTATTCCACTCCCTCCCCACTGTGATTCTTTTCCTCCTGTTGGTGAGCTGGGGTGGGGGGAGTGCTTGGATCCTGCCTGGTCATGGCTTTGTATCTTACCCTTTTTGTGAGATGCTGAGTTCTCGCAGATGTAGATGCAGCCTGGTCTCTTTTTTAGGAATAGTTGTATTTGTTGTATTTTCAAAAATATATATGGTTTTGAGAGGAGCTTTCCGCCGCCCTACTCGTGCTGCCATCTTGAGCCCCCCCCACCTGTTTTTGTATGGCCTAAGAACTAAGAACAGTTTTTGCATTTTAAAGGATTGAAGAAAAATTGTTAAAGACAAGTATTTCATGACATTTGAAAGTTATATGAACTTATGGTTGCTTTCGTGCTATATTGTTGAGTTGAGTTATTCAACAAAGACCCAGTGACATGCAAAGCATAAAATGTTTATCATCTGGCTCTTCACAGAAAATGTTTGCCAATCCTTGTTATAAGTGAAAGTATGATCCTAACTAGTAACTTTGTTAATAAGTTTTGATACTTTTTATGGCATTTGTTTCAGTTCAAGAGGGAACTGAGCAACACAGTATATAATTTGGATTCATTGGTGCCTTTAGAGATTTCATAGACATAAAGCATCATGCTAGGGAGTGTAAATAGTGATACCTATTTTGTTTAGAGGGTGTGTGTGGAGTAGAGGGATGACTACTCTCAAAACTATTAGTTGTAATGTCAGTAAGTAAAGGATAAGGAGTGAAACAAGAGAAAGGATTAAAAAATTTAACTATCTTTGTCTTAAAAGGGAGAAAATCCCCATCTTGTACATTGCCTTCCTTCCCCTTACCTCCTTTCCTCTGTCCCAAACTGAGAAGTAGATAGCACAGTGGTTAAAAAGTCTGAAGGCAGACTGCCTGTGTTCAAATCCTGACTCCACAATTTACTACTGTTTGATCTTGTGCAAGTTCCCTGTCCTGCACTTTCCATATCTAATGCTAATAAACTACTACATAGGAGTCCTACTACATAAGACTATTTTGCCAGCTCCTGACTTAACACCATTATCCCTGCTTTAGTTTATTTTGTTGATGATGTTCACTAATTGCTTTATTAGATACTTTGTGATTATAGCATCAGAATTTCATTCTGTTGAGCTCTCTTGATGATTTTCCCTTTTAAAATGGAAGTTCAGTTCTATTTGTCTGACCCTTCCCAGCATCCTTTTCCTTATTTTCTTTGTGGATTTTTATATTTGTCCCCATCTACTGTGTGTTTTCAATCAGGGCTTGAAGACCACCACTTCTGCTGGCTTTCTGTGGCTTCTTCTCCCAGGAGTGTTTCAGAACTGGCCTGAGAACATGTACAGGGAGCCCTAAACTACCCAAAACTGAGTGTCTTAAGTCCAGTTTTTTGCTGCTATCTTTGTACCTGTCTTTTAAAAATGGCAAATAAGCTGTGCCATGGATGTTCTTAAATCCTGTCTTCACCTTCCAGCAGGAAAACTAGCTTGTGCCTTTAGTATAAATATATGTAGAGCCAGAAGACCATTGCTTATCTCCATGGGAAATCTTCTGCAGTATTTAGTCTTCCCTCCTCTCATTTCACTGTTTTATAATTGCTTTTAAATTACCTATATAACCCACTAGACTGTAAGTGCTATGACTAACTTGCCCATCACTGTAGCCTCAGCACCTATCATGGTATCAGGCTTATTGTGAGTATTTAGTAATATTTGTTAAATGGATAGATAGTTGGATGTGTGTGTAAGATATTCTGTGGTTCTCTGAAGCCACCCTAAAAATTGCCATGACAAAGTAATTATTTATTTGCCTGTTAACCCATGTTTTCCTTCCCTAAACCCTGCTCTCTTCTGATCTGCTGGTAGTATTCACACACATTAGATGTCCAGCCTGGCCTCCCCAAATCTCAATACCCAAAATAGTTCTGCCCCTTGCTACAGACTTAATATGAGATCAAAGGGCAGTTATAAAAGAGAAGGCTAATCGGCTACTAATATATCCTTCTTACATTAGAAGGAAAAAACTGCCATGGCACTTTTCATCGTAGCCATAATTGTGTGTATGTGTGTGTGTGTGTGTGTGTTCCCTACACATGTGCCATTGGAATGGGCTGGTTTTATATGTTTTCTTATCAACTTAATCTCAACTAATTTAAGCCTTCAAATTTCTGAAGATAAGGCTGGGCCAGACAATCTCTATATTTTCTTTTCTATTGTTTTGTGGGGCTGTTTTAACCTTGAGATGGTGCCATTATCTTAAACTTAGAAAGATATTTGTAATAGCTTATTATAAATTATAGTTTTTATACTATGAGATCTTTTTTGTTTTTAAGAACACTCCTGAAGAATTAAAACCTATCAATGAAAGGGTCAGCCTAGATATTCCTTTTTCTATCATATTAAATTTCAATAGTTTATCACAAAGTTACTATTCTATTACAACCTATTTCAGGGAGTACCATGTCTGTATGTGTGAAATGTTTTAAAGGACACTGCATGCAGTTCTCTGACTATAAGAGAAACAATTTCATCCATGTAACAGATGTCTGAATATAACCTCTGTAAACCAATATAACTATAAATCAGCAAGAGATTTTCAGCAGTATATGTTTGAAAAGAAAAAATATATTTCCCTTTACTTCATCTTCTAAACTAGTAGGAGACATGTTCTTGAAAGAAGTGAGTCTTGAGCTGAACTTAAAGGAGGAGAGGCTTTGGATGAGGGAATTCCATGCATGGCAAATGCAGCCAGGAGGCCCAAATAAGCATGGGGCTCATGGAAAACACTACAGAACTGTCCTAAAAGAAGGGAAGGCCTTGTTAAATATTAGCGGTAGTCAGACAGGGGGAGAGGGGCTGAGTCCTGGGGAGCTTTCAGATGCAGGCCAAGAAGTCTGAGTTAACTAAGCAATAGAGCATTAGTGCATAATTTTGAGGAGTGATGAAATAAAGGGTGTATTTTAGGTAAGTGTTAAATTCTTAGTTCCCAAAGCACAGTGGAAACTAATAAACAGACTGGATAAAAACATTTTTCCTTGCCTCATACAATGAGGGGACAATATGTAAAGGTGTAAAGGAGGTGATCCTTTGCCTGCCACTCATTAAATGTTAGCTTCTTATAAGCACATCTGAATACTTTTGGACAGATACCTTGTGAAACAGTCTCCCTGGAGGCTGCAGGGGAGACCTGGGCGTCCACGTGACTGGCTGTGTCTGTACGGCTGGGTCTGGTCGGCGCCTCTCAAAACCCGTTTCCGCGGTGACTGGGCTCTGCCCACATGTGTGATTTTATCAATATAGGTTGCTGCTCCTGCTCCATGGGAAATGGTGGATTGCACTGCCCGTCCACAGAACCAGCAGCCAACACAAGCACCCTGGGGCCTGGAACTGCTTCATTTGAGAAAAGTAAGTGCCCGTGAGGATGTATGAGGATAGCTAGGCCTGAGAAGCAGAAGATTCATTATCCTTGTGCCTTAAAGGAACTCTACATAGCATTTCTATAGAAGCTACATTATTTATGTATTCTCAAATAAGATGAGAGAAAGTGCTAATAGGATAATAATTGTGTATAATAGAATACTCATTGTAAAAAAATTAACTTCTTATAATGTAGTAATAGTACATATAAAGTTTCCAATATATTTAACCCAAGTAATAATTCCAAGAAGTTTGCCCTAGGCACCATTATATTTTTGGCCCTTTTTCTTGTTTTAGAAGCTGAGACTTTTCCCTACTCCCTTCCTCCAAGGCCTGGACCAATTAATTAGTGCATGATTACATTTTGAACCCACATACTTTAAATAAACTCTTTTTTTTATAAAATAAGAAAAATCTTTAAAAGTAATAACCTTTTGGCATATAGACTAAGACTGAATCATATGTATGGTCCGAATTTCAGATTATTTATTTATTTATTTATTGAGGTAAAACTGGTATGTAACATATTTGTTTCAGGTGTACATAATAATTTAATATTTGTATACTTCAAAATGATCACCACAATAAGTCCAGTTACCACCTGTCACCATACACCCACCCCCTAACCCACTTCCCATCAATCTGTTCTCTGTACCTATGAGTTTTGTTTTTTAGATTCCACATGTAAGTAAAATCATATGGTATTTGTCTTTCTCTGACTTATTTTACTTAGCATTAATACACTCAAAGTCCATCCAAATTGTTACAAGTAGCAAGATTTCCTTTTTATGGCTGAACAATATTCCATTGTGTATGTATTTACTTGTATGTACACACTCACACATATATGTATCTCTCACAATTTCTTCATCCATCCATTGATGGACACTTATGCTGTTTCCATATCTTGGCTACTGTAAATAATGCTATGAACATAGGGATGCATATGTCTTTTTTAATTAGTGTTTTATCTTCTTTGGATAATACTCAAGAGTAGAATAGCTGAACCATATGGTAATTCTGTTTTTAATTTTTTGAGGAAACTCCATACTGTTTGGATAGTGGTTGTACCAATTTACATTCCAATAGTGAACAAGGGTTCCCTTTTCTTCACAACCTCATCAACACTTAATATTTCTTGTCTTTTTGATAATAGCCATTCTGACAGGTATGAGATGATATCTCATACTTGTTTTGATTTGCATTTCCCTGATGAGTAGTGACGTTCATATGTCTGTTGGCCATCTGTATGTCTTTGGAAAAATGTCTATTCAGGATGCCTCTGCCCATTTTTTATCAGATTTACCAGAGGTAAAACTTGACTTACTAATTTAGCCTTTAAAATATATATGTATGTATACATAGCTAATTTATAGAGCTAATATATATTTAATGTTTATTTAATTATATATAATTATTTGATATAATTATGTGATCAATATAACAATCATATATATATTAAAATATACATTGCTAATTTATATATAATAATGTAACATATACACTATTACATACTAATTATATATAGTATATAGTAATAATTTAGCCTTATATATATATATATATACGCATATATTATTGAATAGTGTAAAAGGAGCTACTCCATACTAGTATTTTTTCTGATAAAAACAGTCAAGTAGAACTTTCCTAAAACAACATGAAGGAGTCTTCCTCGGATTTCATCTAACAATATACTGATTCTGAGCTGAATGTGCATATGTGGTGGTTTACTTAGGAAGTCATTATGAATTTAAAATGCATTCACATAAAAAGCTTTGATTACAAATCGTTGTACTTACTGTTTTATAGATAATCATTGTGTGAGTCGCTGTAACTCCCAGAGCTGCATGTTAGCCCAGGAAGAAGAACAGTATCTGCAGAGTGGAGATCAGCAACTGACTCGACATGTGTTGCTGTGTTTACTTCTGATTATTGGCCTGTTTGCTGTAATGTTGCTTCTAATTTTGTTTTGGGGCCATCTTTTTTAAATGTTTGGCAAAGGTTTTAGGCAGTCATCTGGGAGAAACTTAGCTGCTACTTCCTAAGGAGGTGGCACTAGGCCATCTGAATCCCAATCTTGATCTAAATGTTTTGGGGACAAAAGAGAATGAGTAATTTACATTACTCTGTTGCCTAAATGCTCCAATAGCTTGTTTTGCTTAGAATCACTTACTCATTCTAGGCTCTGAACCTGGAATTTGGTAAAACCAGGTATCTCCTGTGATGCAAGGCCACTTTTTCCAAATATATTCCTTGACTGACAGTAGATAATTGCCTACATGGTCTCTCAGAAGATATTCCCTGAAGAAACTTTTAAAAAGTCTTTAATTATGAAAATAACATAACTTCATATGATAGATACTAACAAAATTACTGCTCTCTTTTGTAATACATTTTTCATGGTTCTAATCAGACATATAGATTTATATCCTCTTGTAGCTTATGTCAAGCATTTTCTTTTTGCTACATAGTTCATAACTGTTACTTTAAATGGCTCAATAAACCATAGAGGAGATACATTATAATTTACTCAACATCTTCCTTAGGAATTATTGCTAGTTTTTCAAAATGCTGTAATAAACACTCTGTGTGGTATATTTCCTTATGATAGATCATCAAAGTTGAGAAACTTGGATCAAAAAGTATAAACATTTCTTTGGTTTTGGATGCATTCTACTAAATTGTTCTCCAAAGGAATAGTGTATTTATAAAGTACTCTCACCAGCATTGAATATTATACACTTTTTATATTAATAATTTAAAAGTAAAATATAACACTTTTATTTTTAAAGTGCATTTCTTTGATTACTAAAGGATTTCTAAAATTAGTTTTATGTCTTTTGTGAATTACCAGTTATCATTACATAATTTTTTGAGATGATTCTGTAATTCGCGTAGATATAGGAGATGGCCATGCAGAAACCCTTTTACGCTAGTATGCTCGTTTATATAGAATATCTGCCAGCACCATTTAAACTGATGTTTAAGAACAAAAATCAAAAAGTAAGAAATGCTGCCAAGAATTGCTGCTTAGTGAAGTGATTGTTTTCATTGTATAGAACTAATTTTAAAATCAGTCCTGTCTTAGGCTAGTTGGCAGTTCTGATTTTGATGTATTATGTAAGCTTCTGTATTATGGCTCATGTCTTCTTGCTTGAAATGTGATTAGAATATGTTGTTTGAATGACATCTGTCAAGAGGAGCAGTTGAAACCTGTTTCAAAGACGAAGCCTCTATAGTCTTGGTGTTTTTCCCCTAGTCTTTTTCTCCCTAATTATTAAGTAGATACATTATTGTACTGTGTTCTTCATAGAAAGAAATGATGATCTTACTTCATTTAAAAATACTATTTTCACCTTCCTTTTCAGAATCTTTCCAGTTGTTTATGGTGGCTATTCAACCAAGAGCCTGGAAGACTGTATGTTGAATTACAGTTTTTCTGTGCTGTGTTTAACTTTGGCCAGGTATTTATTTACTGAGAACTTTGATGGGTTTTTATTTTCCTGGATGGGTTGATTGGGGGGAGAGGGCTACAGATGTTGTTGTTTTCTTTTAAATCAAAAGAGTTTCGTTCGTTTGTCAGCTGCTGGTATTCATGACAGCTGACAGCTGCTGCCTATCTCTATGTTGGTTAAAGTCATCAGAATGCACACTGAGTGTTTCAAGCAAAAATACCAAGTAGTTTTTGCTTTGATTTTGAGATAAGGAATAGTAATTTAAGCAGGGACAAGATGCTCCAAGTACTTTTTAAACTGTGTTTTGGTCTTAATAAGTCACTTTGGGAAATTTTGGCCAGGATAGTAATTACTATTCCTTGAGAATCTGCTATATGCCACCTGTTAAGCATTTTACATTATCTATCTCATTTAAACACATCACAATAATACCTGCAAAGTAGACATTATCATCTGCATTTAAAAATTAGAAACTAAAATTCCATGAAGAACTAGTATGATAGGTGCTGTTGTCTTTATGTCACAATTAAAATGGATATTTAAGGATAAATGACATTTTACATATTGGGAAAATTTTTTCTGTGCAAATTGCAAAATTTGATTCTGTCTTACTTTTTAAGTAGAGAATATTTTGTCCTTTGGTTAAGTATCAGGTTGAAAGAAGTACTGTGTTTGAAATCACTAGGTTTTCCTATTAAACCTGAAATGACCAGCCACATGTTAGTTAACATCTATCAGTAGACACTCCTACAAGTTTTCCCTAACACCAATTTCTTGAAATATTTTCAGTTTGTTTTGCCTTTATTGTAGGAGCAAAAATGGCTATATCTAGACAGACGAGTGACCCAATCAGTTTATTACAGACATGAGCGTCAAAGACTACTTGATGCCCATCTCACTTGTGATACTGTTTAAGATCTGGTTTTTTTACCCAAGAGCTACAAAATACTATGTTGAATAATTATAGTCTTACTCAGCCCATTCCAACCTGAGCTGTCCGAGGCCTGGGACTGAGAAAGCTTCATAAACAAAAACTAATGCTAGGAGTGTTGCATTTGAAATATTGCTCCCAGTTTATGGCTCAAGTGCTTCAAAGGAGGGAGAGACACAAACCCCTGACCCCATTCCATTTTCCCCTTGGGAAGATGTTACACAGTAAGATCATTCTTTTGGTTGTTTATAGCTTGAGGGTGAAGAAAGGTAGGTCCTCCATGTGATATATTGCATTTTCCATCCTGCCTCCCACCAAATTGCGCGTAGATGCTTATCCCACTGTGCCCGACAAATAGCAGTTCCCAGTCTCCTGTCTCCCCAAGCGTTCCTCAGCACCTTCATCTGTGGCTAATATCTGATGCCAGTTTGCCTCATCACCCCAAGTCCTTCAGTCCTTCCCTAAGTACTAGCCAGCTTCATTTCACATAAATTTTGTTCAGTTACTCATTTTGATCAGATAATATAGCACTTGTTAACTCTATTATTTCTGAAGCTTTAACAGGGGAATAATGAATACATAACCACGAGAGATGATTTATTTTCTTTTTAAGAAAGGGGAAACAAAGACTTATAGCCCTTAATCTTCTTCAGAGAGCTAGCATGCAAATGTGGCTGCTCAGTGCTGGTTTCTAGCACCCACTGGAATTCGTAGGACAGATGACTGAGAAGAGGTAGTCAGGTGTCATAGCTGCCCCAGGCTGAACTTCAGAGGGTCTGCCTTATGTTCCATTTGAAATATTGCTCTGTTTGCTATAGGTTTGCTTCCCCAAACAATTTGGTGGCTTTCATAATTTCTCTCTTAAAATTTCATTGTTGAGTTCATAAAAAATAAAACTTTTTTTTCCCCATAGGGATTTATTTCCTTTGGCATCTTTGGACTGGACAAACATTTAATCATCCTGCCTTTCAAAAGAAGGTACATTTAATTTTGAAATAAATCTGTATCTGTAAAGGTGATGACAAGGCCATTCTAGTCAGATACTGATATTTTTAAACCTTTAGTAACTGCTAGGAGACTGCAAGGTTTTAACACATAAAGGTTATCTGTTGATTCACATGTGTTGTAAATCCTGCAGAGAAAATACTGGAAGAATCCAACACTGTAATTTGCATTTTAACAAGAATTGATTAACACTGACTTCTATCTATGCCATTAACTACAGAAAGTAAAATGAAACTTGAAAATATATTTGGAAATAAAAGTAGCAGATGGTATTCCCCCAGAGGTCCACATTTATCTTTCTCCTTTGACAACAGGATTTCTCTATCAAACAGACAATATATAGAAAACTGAAGTTTTCTTCTTTCTAAATTTTTGGTTTTTTATTAGCTTGGTGAAGAGTTTCTTTGAATTCAGATACAGAATTTCTTTATGAAAAATAATGAAGCAGGAACACTCCAACTTGGGGGTGGGAGGAAGAGGCAGATGGGGCAAATACTTGTACTTCCTCATTTGTTTTCAGTCATAATTAGTAGAAACCACAAGTGCTAATGGAATTTGTTCTACCAGCTGTATAAAAGATGCCCAGTAAATGGCAACTGTTTTTTTTTCATCACTATTAACATCGTTATCATTAAGATGTACATGCTAAGGTCATCCTTTCATGAGGCAGGAAAAGCATAATAGGAAAGGCACTGAACGCAGTTATCAGCTTCATGTTGATCAGTTGAAATGCTGAACAGACTGATTACCCAGGCTCACAGCAACAGAATCGTTCTGCACTCCAGATCCTGGTATTTGTTGTCTCTGGTACTGAAATTGGAAAGTGACTAAATAAAATACTTGATCTCTGTTATTTTTGCATTTTAAGTAGATTGTAGAATGAGGAACTTCACTTTTTGGTTAGAAACAAATGGATCAGACATGTCTGGAAGGTTTATAAAATGTTCACTCCCCCACCCCACCCCAGCCTGCCTTGAACAGAAAATTAAATGCAAGTAGACTGCTTTTAAATTTAAATGCAGGTAGTCTCTGCTGCAGAGACAATGATGCCTGGGTGTTGTAGATAACAGCTTTGACAAATGCAGCTTTGGAACAGCCATGTTGATGGGTGATAAGTAGGAAGGGGTTCTCTCTCAGTGCTTTTCTGTCCTTAAAAATGGCCTCCTTAAATTTTGGTTTTCAGACTTGAATTCCTGTGGAACAATAAAGAAATAGCAGAAAACAGGGCTTCTCCTGTTCCTGAGGAAATAAAAATGACCTGTCAACAATTTATCCATTATCACCGTGACCTCTGTATTCGAAACATTGTCAAGGAAAGAAGGTAAGTATGGGTTCCAGATTATATTTTTGATGATTAATTTTGGTTTGTATCAGGCTAAGTAGGTGTGACTACATGATTATTTTCAATAAAACCTATACATGTAAAAGTTAAAATAACTATGGGTTAGTTTAAAGATATAGCATATATATGTATATATATGTAGGAGTCATATCACTTTTTTGTTTTTTTAAATTAATTTCTGATTTCCATAAATGTAAAAATTTTAGAATGAACCAAAATGTAGTAGATTATTAACATTCACTTCATGCTGGCCATTAGTGTCTCACAAAACTTTGAGATACAGTGGATGTAGAAGTGATTTTATATTCTCCATCTCCTACTGGTATATTATATTAATGATATTGTCAAGAAAATGAAATGAAATTTGTCTCTTAATCCTGCTGCTACTTATTTTTCACTTAAAGTTCTAATCTTCAGTTTGTGACATATATATTCTTCTAATCAAGATATGGAGAATGCAGCAGGAAATAAGTAAATAAATGTTATAGTGCTAGTATTTTTGGTTGTCATAAAAGAGAAAGACAAAACAAAACATAAAGAATCAAATACTTTTATGTCTATAACTGAAAATTTGAAAGTTACCATTCAGGATGATTCATTTACATATATTATGCTACTACATGTCATTATAACCAGGAGGTAGCCTGATAAAGCTAGCGGGAAGGGGACTCGCTGGGTGGAAACTGACACTTGAACTCATGTCCTGGATCTGCCACTTACTAGCTGTGTGAATCGGGCAAGTTCAATTCTCCAAATCTTAGTTTTCCTTTTCTTTAAAATATCTGGTACTCGGGGTTGCTTGAATTAGATCCTGAAATCTATAGGAAAGGTAACAAAATCTGTAGGATGGGCCTATTCCGGTTTCTGGAAATGGTAAATTATGAAGAAAAGTTAGTTTCCCACCCTTAAAGGGTCAAAACCAATTATTTCAAAGTACCATCTACATATGGTTTCAACAATTTGAAACTGCTTTTTAAAATTAAAACAGTGAACTCAATGTTAGTTCCATGAGGCCAGTGTGAATGCCAACTGTCAGAAGGAAGTGTGGCTTTTGCCCTCTGCAGGGCGGCCCGGTTGCCTCAGTCCCAGAGGGCTGATCAGGCAGACACTGGCTGGCAGTGGTACTGCTGAGCAGCCTGTGGCACATTCTCTGCCACTCTGAACAGCTCCATGGGCTGTGGTTGTAGCTGCCTGATCAGTCAGAAGGAAGCAGATATTATTCAGTTAGTGTCTGAGATAGAAGTTGTTGGGCTATAAATCAAAAATCAACAAGCAGGAAGAAAGCTCAAACACAGGTTGTAATATTCAGGGTTTTGTTCAAAGTGATTTTGCAGTTGCAAAGCATAAATTAAGTTATCTCACTACTAAGTAAAATACTCATGTTAAAAATATTGTGATTTTATGTACTTGAGAAAATTTTTCCTGTATATTAACCTTTTCTAATTTTTATATGAAACTCTAATATATACTCATTGTGGTTTAATATTTTAAATTTCTGTCACCTGTTTCTCATTTCATCTTGATTTTCATCCACTGTTTCCTATTGTCAAGCACTTTAGGTTTTACACTTTGACTAATGCTTGTCAACAGACTCATGTTGTCTATTGCATATTTGAATGAAAATGTACAGAATTCATTTAAGTGGTTTGTTTACATTTCTTTTTCCCTTGTTTATTTGTTCATACCTGAGGCACCCCACATTTGCATTAGGAAGACATTTTAAACAAACCAAGAAGTAGACTCATACTCAAAGTACACTTAAAAAAATCTTAGATTTGTAGCAAGACAGATGTCATTTATTCCTTTCGTGCTTTCCAATGCAGCAAATTCCTGACAAACATCAGTAAGATTGTCTTGGCTGCTGAGGGCAAGAAGAAAGGTTATTTGTGCATTACTACAATAAGCAGAAAATAAAGTTTGATTTGAGTAGTTTAGTAATAGTCTTAAGAGCTTGTAAAAAATATCATTTAATGTTCCTACGATAATTAAATTAACCAATTATAATCAAGATATATTACATAAATTGTAAAATATGTAATATTAATATTCAGCTGTCTACAGAATGGATGTGATCATAAAAGGCCATCTACCATAAAAATAATATTTCTTGGTAGAAGCATTTATATTTTCTAAGTCATTTTTTTGTGTTTCTGTTTCATAAGCATTATTAGCATATTTTATTTCCCTCCAGGGGGGCTTTCTAGGGTCAGATGAGTTAACCCTTTATATTCCGAACAGTTTCATTCCTGCCACATTTTTAACTATCGTGCTGTGCTCCTCTGTCTCCTTCTGTTTTTCCTTGCTTGTCCTCCATCATGCAGTGCTGACACCAGATTTAAAGAATATATGAGTTAATCATTCCTTTGACATCCAGGTGTGGTGCAAAGACTTCTGCTGGGACCTTCTGTGGCTGTGACCTGGTGAACTGGCTGATTGAAGTTGGTCTTGCAGCTGACCGTGGTGAAGCTGTGATATACGGAGACAGACTGGTGCAAGGGGGAGTTATCCAACATATTACTAACGAATATGAATTTCGGGATGAGTACTTGTTTTACAGATTTCTTCAAAAGAGTTCTGAACAGAGTCTTCCTGTTTTTAATGCAAACACTTCCCCACAGGAAAGATAAAGAAATTGAGTGTTCTTCCCCATCCCCTAAGACCTAAAGTATGAAGGAGATAAGCCCAAGTGGAGTTATAGTCTAGCCCCAGATCTGTTACTGTGTGACCCTGGGCAAATTACAACCTCCCTAAGCTTCAGGTGCCTCTGTATAATTTGATGAGATGTGCTCCCACCCCAAGAATTTTACGATTTCATGTGTAGGAAACTGACTAAGGAAGGAGAGAAAACCAAATCAAAATTTAAAGTTCTGATAATAAATAGTTAATATAAACTAATTATGCCAACATTTTAAAACATTGCTTCCTGCAACTGTTTGCTGTGATATGAAAATCAACATCCAATTTACTATTCTTTAAATTGCCAAATTTGGCAGGTGTACTGCTGACATGAAGAGGAGCTTAAATTATGACAACTTTGCATTTATTGATAGCACCTCCTACAAACAAATTTAATGATCCTAATAAGAGGCCTTGTTGTTCTGTTCTTCCCATTTCCTTGACAAACAGTACTCATTAAAACCTAGAAGCACTATTTTTCAGGTTTATGTTTTCTTTTCTATCCAAAGTACTAATCTGTGCCATTAGGAGGGAAGTAAGAACCTCCATAAATATTATCCCCATCAACAGAAGTATAGTCTAATCTTTAACTTTAATACTAAAAATAATAATTTGAGCAGATTCACTTAAAATTCATCAATAAAATCATTGCTATGTGATGTATTTTCTGGTGTTTGCACAAAGCATCACAGTGCAGAGGGATAGCCTATTACCTTATTTCCTGCAGTTAAAAAGAAGAAAAACTACACAGTACAAGCCAAGATTTTTTAATTCTAAGCCTAACATGCTGCTTTTACATTAGAATTGTCTTTAAGCATTCATGTATTTAAAAAAAACCATAAATTTGAAAATTACTAAATGTTGCCCTCAGATAACCTTTATGTTCAGTAAATTTTAAAAAAGAAATCTATTCACATGACCTTTGAACCTCTATTATTACATGTCAATGCTGGTTTAACTTATGTAAAACATGTTCCAAATATTTATTTACCTCATACTTTTAGTGTTTCATATGTAGAAGCCATCTAGAAAATAATTTATAGGGTTAAATCATTGCCCTTTAATGCAACAAATGTTTGTGTTTTTTTTTTAAACCTACATGGAAACCTAATGTATTTAACAAGTAAATTATTCTTTAGTGTATTGTATTAATCTATGCCAATTTTAAGTTATGATTAGGGAATGGGGATGTTTTTTAGCACAACTATATTGCTGTGGAACTTCTTTCTTAGTATAATCACATTGTAACTCTCAGAAAGCTCAGGAACATAAAGCCTCATTGCTACATTAAGAGACTTTTATAGTTGCAGCATAAAAATATTAATTCACATGCATGCAGGCAAATCACTGTGGAGAACTTGTTTTGTTTGTGAACAAATCATACTACATACGTTCTGTTATGTGCATGAAGGGAATGGACAGCATCTTTTTCCATGGGAGACACTAAAAGAAAACCCTGGATCAGAATGATCCGTGGTTTCAGATAATGAAGGCTTTGAAGAGATGTTTTTAGGATTAAGGATAGGCTACTTTTATTAAATGAAAATATTTGTAACTTTTACTCACTGACAAAGCAAGTTTCTCAATAAAACACCTATTTGAACTTGCACTGCCAGCGTCTTTTGAGTAACCTAATGCAGAAGCCATCATAGAGGTCTTTTCTATTAGTTTCCATATTTTCTTAGGTGGGTGTCCTGAGATTATTCTATTCTTTGTGGCCCTGTGGGATCAGTACACAGGGTGTTTCCCAATTAGCACTCAGTAAACATTTTTATTAATGGGTCAATATGACATTAAAGTCCTTTTCACATATTTCATAATTTTAATATGCAGGGTCCGAGCTGGGAAAATTATTTGATACGATATTGGTTAACTTCTGCCACTTTTATACTCATCTTCAGCATGGCCAGTCATTCTTTTCCTTGTTCTCAGTGAGTAATTTCATGCCTAGCTTGCAATTACTTCAACTTAGAAGGTTAAACTTGAGTAAGGTAAAGTGTTGGCATTTTAAGAATAACAATTATCAGAAAATTTCTACGAGCAAGAAAAATGTAAAACTATTGTTTTACATGTTTCCTATGCAGCAGACTACAGCTCTTAGCTTCTGCCCCTTCGTGTCTCATATCAATTAAAATGTTAAATTAGACACTGAACATAGGTAGTCGTGTGATGAGTGATGGTTGGAAACACAGTTCACAATCAGAAATGTTACTGCTGTTGTACAGGAAAAGACTGGATGATAAATTTCCAAAATTGGTATGATAAAAGCTTAAAGTAATTAATTAGAAAGAAAAACATTCACTCTGTAGAACCTATTTTTGGCAAGTTTTACAAAGGGAAACTAAATTTCCAAAATTCTAGGTTATATAATTATTTGTAGGGCAAAATTCTTCATTGAAGATTAATATATAAATTGATGTCTCTATCAAAGATCAAACTAGCTTTCTCTGAAATCCTGTTTATTAGATTATTCCCTTAGTTTACTATCTAGTGGTAAATAATAAACCACATGATTTAAGGGTTGACTCCAAAAAAGCTTAATTTCAACTACAATATTTTTATTCTTACGAAACACATTGAATTTAAGAAAACCTTACATTTTCTAAAATATACTACAAGGCATTAATTAACCACACAAAACCCAAATACCATATTGGATTTATAGAGTGAAAGTCTCCAAAACTGTTTAATGTATTAACTTACATATCCTTATAATAATGCTTATCTTTATTTGAGAGGTTATTATTCCCATTTTGAGTATGGAAAAAGGCAACAGGTTCACATGAGACTTATCAAAGACTATCAAGTTGTACAGATAGACTACCTAATTTTCTCAACTTTACAAGCAGAGAAGAGGACTGTGTAAATTATTCCATCAGCATTGAAAGATAATTTAACAGATATTCAATGAGCATCAGGCTTGTGCCAGACATGATGTTGAATAATGAACACACTCAAAAATATGGTTCCTATCCTCATGAAGTTTCTACTGTACTGTGAGAGACAGATATTAAACATATAATTACACTTGTGATCAAGAGCACATGTGGCTTTCAGATTTGTAACAAGAAAACTTGACCTTGTGGTGCAGGGACAACTTCCCTAAGGAAGTCGTGTTTCAGCAAAACTCTAAAGGATGAAAAGAACTACTTGTATAAAGGGAAGCACATGAAAATGGTCCAAGCAGAGGGTACAGCCATCATAAAGGAACTGTGCACATTCAAAGTCTTGAAAGAACAGCAAGGTAAAAACTTTAATAATGGCGAAAGTATAATAACATAGATGGGGTAGATCAGCAGGATCATGTTGGTATTTGCTAAGGATTGGGACTTATCTCAAAAAAGTTATTTTTAAGACTCAACAGTAAGAAAATGAACAACTTAATTTTTAAAATGAGCATAAGAGCCAAACAGATACCTCACCAGAGAATATTTACATATGGCAAATAGGCATATTAAAAGATGCTCTCCTTCACATGGCGTCAGGGAAATGCAAATTAAAACAATGAGTCACCACTACACACTTATATGGCCACAATGCAGATCGCTGACAACATCAAATACCAGTAAGGATGTGAAACAATGGTAGGAAGACAAAATGGTAGTCACTTCGGAGACAGTTTGGCAGTTTCTTACAAAATTAAACATACTCTTTTACCATACTGTCTAGACTCAGCCTGCTGGGTATTTACCCAGATGAGTTGAAAATGTGCATCTACACAAAAGCTTACATATAGACATTTATAGCAGCTTTACTTAAAATTGCCAAAACATGGAAGCAAACAAGATGGCCTTCAGTAGCGGATAGCAGCATCTAAAATATTCACACAATGGAACATTATTCAACACTAAAAAATAAGCTATCAGGCCATGAAAAAACATGGAGGAATCTTAAGTGCTAAGTACTAAGTAAGTTACTGAGCCAATCTGAAAAGGCTGAATATAATATTACAACTATATGCCATTCTGGAAAAGACAAAACTAAAGAGACCATAAAAAGATCAGTGGCTGCCAGGAGTTACAAGGAGGGAGTGATGAGTAAGTGGCACAGAGCTGCTGAGGGCAGTGAAACTGCTCTCTGTATGATCCTATGATTGTGGACATGTCATTATACATTTGTCCAAACCCACAGAACATACAGTGAGTGAGTGAGCCCTAATGTAAACTATAGATTTTCGGGGACAATGATGTGTCAATGCAGGTGTATCAGTTGTAACAGGTGTACCACTCTGGTTTGAGATGCTGATAGGTGGGGGTGGGGACAAAGGGTATATGGGAACTCTGTACTTTCTGTTCTATTTTGCTATAAACCTAAAACTGCTCTGACAAAGTCTATTTTTTTAAAGTTTTTAGGAGGGAAATTCATGATCAGATTCAAATTTTTAATAAATCACTCTACAGTGGAAAGAGATAAAAATAAAAAATGGATGTAGAAGAAGTTAACTTCAGTGGTCCAGGTGAGAGATGGTGCTAGTTTGGTTAAGGATGGTGTCGAAAGACAAAGTGCAAACATGCTGGCTCAGAGACAGAAGTAAGATTCTCTTGTCGCTTGATAAATCAATGAACTGCTCACCCTTAGTTTTCCTTATATATTAAAAAGAGAGGTGTATGGGGCTTGAACAAGGGTCTTCATGATTTAGGGAGAAAACTATCCCTGAACCACACATAAAGCAAACACAGATTTAACTGAGTACCTGAGACAGATTTCTTTTGTAATTGCTGCCCTATATTAGACAAGAGCAGTAATACCCGGTTATAGATTTTATGAGAGAATTTAAAAATGATTTCCTGTACACTCTTTAAATATAATGATCCATGACTTTAGCAATACTCTTAATTGCAGTATTAGTGACCAACAAATATGAAAATGTAATAAAATAACAAAAATGAACATTTCTAGAAATCAATAGTGTTATTTTGAGTTGGATTTTTCTTTCTTTATGTTTGCAACTTTGAGTCTTGGTTATCTCTATGCAACTTTAACAAAGTTTTATAAACTTTAGGCAGATATTACTCATAATGTTCCTAATACATATTTCATGATAATGTTCTTAATGTTCATAATACACTAATAATTTTATTTAATTTCAACTATCTCATTCCTGTTCCCATTTTCCCTGAGTGAACAAATGTGAAAGACAAGAGAGATGTGAGACACAGAAACAGTGTTTCCTATGGTCTTGGTTCCTTTATCCCATTTCCTAATCTCCCAGACAAGCTTTTCTAAAAACATTAACATAAAAGCCTATTAAGGGGCGTGGCCAAAAAAATGCTAGATAATTATAGCTAAGACTCATTGGTCAGCCAATTCTTGACAAGGAGCATATCTGAATTTATCAGAAGTGCATTCACAGAATTAATACACTGTAATAAGAATGTGTAGATCTGGAAAATTTTGTTAGAGCCAATTAATATTTGCCTAAAGCACAAAAACTCATTACTTGAGACAATATTTTCCATTAAAGAAAAATCTGCTTTGTTGTAACTGAGAAATTTATTTGAGGACAGTACATAATTATACTAAACATAAATCCATGCATTATTTTAATGTTTCATGCTTTATGCACAATTGAGTATTTAATTATTGTGATTTCAAAAAAGATACTGTGGCCAAAAAAATAATTACCAGTCAGTTCCTTAAGTAATACCTGGCTATCCATGATACATGTGTTCAATTCCAATGTTATTTTCTTTCTCAATATCTCAAGAAGACTACATGTAGTTCTAATAGTTATTTAATAATTATCTAATGGCTATCATTTGCGTGCTATTGAAGAACAATCAGATCTGCTCAAACTAGGTTTATATCATTTACAAAGTTGATAGATTCTGACTCTGAGGGAGATTGATGACATTTATATGATCACTAAGAACTAATATTTGACTTATAAATTCTAATTTCATCTTTTACGCACTGAGGAAAGAGATGAACAGCTTTATCCACATCAAGATACTTGTTTTGAAGGATAGATTCCATCTCTTTGAACAGTTCTTTCTCCAGTTTCTTCATGTTATCCAACATTGTTTTGGCTTTTTCCTGAACAAAAAAATAAACATAAATAAACACACACACACACATGCATGCACACACACAGGTCTAACCAAATTCCAGCCACCTCTACAGACAGGGTTTTATTCATTCTGGTTTCTATTCCTGGTTTAATTCTCCTTCTATTCTTCAGATATAGAAGGAATAAAATTCTTTGGGAAAAATCATTGTTCTAGATTGAGTTAATATATCAACCCCAAATTGTTAACTTTTAGCAGAAAACATTATAGTAATTACATAGGTTTAGTCTGTAAGCAGAAACCTAAAAGACAAAATAAGAGGACAACTGAAAGCCTGGCATTACGTGTACATGGGGAAGTTTGCGAAAATTGAGGCCAAGATATTTCTATGAATTTGGATAATCTATTTAAAACCAGTACTACCAGATTAAACAAGGGAAATAAAAACAATGTTCAAGAGAAAGAGCAACTACAAGAAAAGACATTTTCTCTATGACTCCTTGTTTCAAGGAGAAAAAAGGTCATGACTCTTCCAGTAAGGAGGAAATTCTAAGTTATTGATGAATTAGCATGATCCATTATCGGATAGGTACCAAGAGAAAAAGTATATAAGAAGAAATTTACTATAAAGTGAGCATAATTTTAAAAGTTTGACTCATTATGGGGCAGAACTCCACAAAACAAAGATTCTTAACATGCACTTCAATGTGAAATGGTGATTTTTTTTCCTGAAGAAACTGCATTTCTTATCAGTGGGACAAAATGTATGTTTGTCTATAAAAGGCATTGGAATAATTGGCTGTCTCTTTGTAAAACAAAGTTAGAGTCTTTACTTCATAAGATACACAAAATTGCAGATGAATTTAAGAACTAAATTTTTTTCAAACACACATAAATACTGGAAGACAATACATAAGTCACATTTATTTTGAGGTGAGGCAGGCCTCTGAAACATGAAATCAAGATGCCATAAAGAAAACATATATAGTTGACTAAACTTAAAACTTGTCTGCCAAAAAAAGTCAAATAAACAAACTGAGATTGAAACTTTGCAATATAACAAAGACTTAAGATTGCCTCTTTGAGGCACAAAATAACCAAGAATTAATTGAAAACTAGGCAATGTAAAAGAATAGGCAAGTCATTTAAGAGGAAATACTAATGGTCAATAAACACATGGGAAGATTTTCAACCTCATTAGTAATCAAGAAATGTAAATTAAAACTACCTTAGGATTGAGTATCCCTAAGACACAAAAGTAGTTATTTAGAGCCAGGACTCGAAGCTGGGTCTTTGTTTTCCCTCAAATTCTGTTGCCTTTCTACTACTTTAGGCTGTCGATCAAAATAGTAACAGCTTTAAAACTTTTATTTCAATATTACTTAGAAAAATATCAATCAGCAATTTGGTTTAGCAAACATTTAATAGTAAGTCTACAAAACCCCTCATGTCCCTAAAGCAGTACTGAAGGGGAAAGGAAACTGACAGCTCTTGAGAACTATTAGCACAACAATCAGGGCAGAGTGGGGGCTGCTCTGGGAGACTGAGGGAAAATTCCTCCAGAGTGGACCCTCTTGAAGCATATCACTAAGGAGCTTCAGCAAAAGCAAAGACCGGGGGGCTCATCATTTCTCACAGGGCTGTACTGAGGAATGGATGACACCTTTGCTGGGTGGGTGGGCCCTAGTCAGCACACTTAATGGGCTCCCAGAACATACTATTTGCCTCTCACTCCATGCCAACAGCCTACTAAAAGTGCTTACACTGTAGGTCACAAGTGAAAACAAATTGGTTCTAGATAAAGAAGAGCTTTTAAAGTATCAAGAATTCATGGCAAATAGGAGGTCTGAACAGAGTTCTCTGATTTAAACATAATGCAAGATGGTGAGGGAAAGACATGGCAACTATGCACACACTATAGACAAAGTAAGCAAGCAAACAGTTACCCAGAGAAAGGTTCATTTAATTCATTGAATGTAGAAAGAATGGAAATGCATATACCTTGAGAAAGTAAAATAATTACAAGCAATAAAAATCAGTAGCTGGTAGAAACAGGTGAGAAAAGGTGTAATGGCCAATCTTTTCCTTCACTGAAGGGAATCGGTTGATGGTTCTGTGAAAAGACTTTCAGGTAGCCCCTCCATTGCCTTCTAATCTACTTTCTATCTTTGGGGTGGACAGGGAATCAGGCAGAAGGGCTAAAGAAGTATGGACACTATAAAATTATTTGTCTATCTGCCTATCTGCCCCCAATAATATATCTGCTTATTTCTGGATACGAGCTTTTGGTAATGGTAATCTTCTATAATGCTCACACTTTAAAATAATAAGCATTTATCACTTTTCTAAAACTCCAACTCATTATTTTAAGTCTGTGAGTATTAAGTCATTTTCAGCTAAAATTAATCTGAGGCTATACAGGTTAACTGCCCTCCAGTGGCTTTGTCATTTTTGGTATGAGATATATAGCAAGCAAGCTGCTTAAACTCTCCAAGTCTCAGATTCTTTATCAATAAAATGGGATAATAATAGTACCTACCTCATAAAGTAGCTGTGAAGATTAAATGAGATATTCCATGTAAAAGTACCCATGGTGCTCAGTGTGGAGTAAATGCTCAAAAAATGTTAGCTATTGTTATGTGTAATAGATTCACACTATTTTAACTGTCATTTTTAACCAAAGGTCAAAAATATTATAGTTCTACTATAGTTTAAGCATCCAAACTACTTTTAAACCTATTTTTATATGAAGGAAGGAAAGAAAGCTGAACTTCAGCTGGAATTTTAAGGTATTCTTAATGATAAGCTATAATCTAATCATACCTCTTTATTATCTATAACTTCTAATGCCTGTTGATGTTTTTGGTAGAGTGGGTGTCTTCTGTCAGGCTTAATCTTAAAATGTGGCTTCTCTGTATCTGGATCTTCAAGTTCAAATGTTGGTGAACTGGTGTCCAACAGTTGTGAAATATTTGGCACAAATATGAAAGGCTTAAAAACAGATCTAGAAGAAAAGGTCTTTGTTAATAAAATTGGCATGTGGGAATATAAAAGTATTCAGATTCATTCTAAATCTTCTAGGATTCCCTCTAGTGAGAAGTTTCTATTAATTTATCACATACTAATTGTTCCTATCATACTAGTTATATCATGCTTCTCTTCCCTGGTACACTGGAGTCTCCTTAGAGGTAGAGGAACTACGTATTATTTAGCCTTGTATTCCCAGGAACAAAAGGCCTGACATAAACAGTGTTAAGTGAAATTATAGTTCTTCATTTCTGCTGCACACTCCACAGGTGGAAGATTAGAACAATCCTCAATGTTATAAACTAAGGATTAGGATTTGGGATGAAAATCATCAGCAGTATTAACAGAGTTCACAAGTGTCATTCCATTGTCTCGAAAATATCTTTAATGATATGAAAGACTATAATACTAAGAAATAATGAATATAAACAAGATCATTTCTAAATGTAATATGCATTAAGTTTTGTAAGAAATACTAATGACTTTAATCAAAATAGTCTGTATAAATCTATTAAAACATAACTATTGATACTCTAAGTTTTATATGTATTTTCTAATATGAGTGTATAAGTAACTACCTTAATCCAGCACAACTACATCATTTAACCTTTTTATTGTTATTAATCATCTAGTATTGTAATACTGAAATCTGTTCAAGAAAACCTGTTTTCTTTTCTTGAAAATTTTAGATATATTTGAGGAAAGAGAGCACAGGGATAACTGCATACATGAAACTATTAACATTTTCATCCTGTAAGAATGAGAAAAGCGTGGCAGTTACACACATATGGAAGACTAAAACCTGAAGAGAAAATGCATCCAAAAATTGTCATTCTTGTGTAACAAAAATTCAGACTGACAAAATCATCAACAGACTAATGACATGTCTACACCCTAATCCCTTTTGGTTTTTGTGACTTTACCTCTCAGGATCAGGAGTCCCTGTAAAGAAGTGAATGCAAGGAAGTTTGGAGTCTTGAGGTAAGACAGAAACCATGCTTGCAGTGGTCAGGAATTCGCCCTCCATGTTAATGCCACTTGGTTTATCTCGGAGAATTTCCATCATTGTTTCAGAAGTTATGTTTCCTAGGGAAATAATTTTAAAAACCATCAAATACATGTGAATTTGCAGGTTGGTATCCTGCAAATATGAAGCAAGTGCTTTCTCCATTGACAATATATAACATGAGATATTGTCTACCTATAAATTAGAAATTGACTATAAGCAAACCTTGTACCATAACTGTTAAACTCATTCCACTGTTGCAAGGAAGATAATTGTTTTAAAAATAGTAAATAAACAAAATTTCAAATCCGTTTTAGTAAGCAAATTCTATGTAAGTTCCAAAGAAGTTATCAATGCAAAATTCAATCTCACCTTTCTACCAATAGTTTTATCATCCATGACACTGCCTAAACCACAAAACAGTGGTTTTTTTAATTCTATCATTCCTTTTATTAACTTGCTTTCTCTCCTCAATTAGAGCTACTTCGTTATTCTACAAGACAGTTTGTATCGGTCAGGAAAGATACATTATTTTTTCTTTTCCTTTAATTTCTAATTTTCAAAGTAAGGGCTTGTTGCCTATTGCTATGAAAATATGTTCCCCTTAAAAAATCATATGTTGGAGGGAGGAGCCAAGATGGCAGCGTGAGTAGGGCAGTGGAAATCTCCTCCCAAAACCATATTTATTTTTGAAAATACAACAAATACAACTAATCCTAAAAGAGAGACCAGAGCATACAGTACAACAGCCAGGCTACATCTGCATCTGCAAGAACCCAGTGCCTCACGAAGGGGGTTAGATACAAGCCGCAGCCCGGCGGGTCCTGAGTGAAACCCCTACCTCAGCTCCCCAGCGGGAGGAGAGGAGTTGGAGCAGGGAGGGAGTGGGAGCCCAGGACTGCTAAATACCCAGCCCTAGCCATCCACACCAGGAGCGCAGACACACACTGTGTGGTGTGCTGGATATTAAAATGGGACAGTAAGACCTGTGAGCGGGTCCCCGCAGCTGGCTCCCTGGGACACAAGAAAAGTGAGTGCTTTTTGAAAGACTTAAAGGGACAGGGACCCCACAGCTGGACGGAAGCGTCCTGGGACACTTAGCCCAGAAGCTGGGAATCCTGGGAAAATTCAGGTGCTCAAGCCCCCTGGGAGGCAGCACAGCTCTGAAGCCTCTCACAGCGATAAACAGCCTCCTGTCCATTCCCCCTCCAGCACAGTCCTGCCATTGCAGGGGAGCAGCCTGAGAGCGGCCGTGCCCACAGCAACTGCCCAGAGACCCCCCCCCAAGCCGGCCAGGCCACACTCAGAGGCCCCACCAGCACACAGCAATCCACCACAGACAGAGGAAGCTGGGACAGGGCGCAAAGGGTTGCCATTCTCACAGGAGAGCACACCGGGCACGCCTGCCTCTCCCTGTGGGGCTCTGGGCTGCCCCGATGAAAGCCCCGAACACGGGAGCTCAGGAAAAAAACCGGAAGCTGCTTCCCGTCTGTGGGATGTTGTTCTCCCAGCTGACACACACACCAACTGCCCACGACTACCTCTATAGCCATGAAAAGGGAGAAGAATCTGATCCAGTCGAGAATCACCCAGACAGCCCCTGAGAGGGAATCTGGGGAGATAGATTTACCCAATCTTCCTGAAAAAGAATTCAAAATAAAGGTCATAACCATGCTGATGGACCTGCAGAGAAATATGCAAGAGCTAAAGGGTCAACATAGGAGGGATAATACAGAAATAAAACAATCTCTGGAAGGACTTAAGAGCTGACTGGATGAGGTGCAAGAGGCCGTTAATGGAATAGAAATCAGAGAACAGGAATAGAAAGAAGCTGACACAGAGAGAGATAAAAGGATCTCCAGGAATGAAAGAATATTAAGAGAAATGTGTGACCAATCCAAACTGAACAATATTCACATTATGGGGTAACAGAAGAAGAAGAGAGAGAAAAAGGGATAGAAAGTGTATTTGAAAAAATAATTGCTGAAAACTTCCCCAAACTGGCGGAGGAAATAGTCTCTCAGACCATGGGAGCCCACAGAAATCACAACACAAGGGACCCAAGGAGGACAACAACAAGATACATAATAATTAAAATGGCAAAGATCAAGGCCAAGGACAGAACATTAAAGGCAGCCAGAAAGAGAAAAAAGGTCACCTACAAAGGGAAACCCATCAGGCTATCATCAGATTTCTCAACAGAAACCTTACAGGCCAGAAGAGAATGGTATGATATATTTAATGCAATGAAACAGAAGGGCCTTGAACCAAGGATACTGTATCCAGCACGATTATCATTTAAATTTGAAGGAGGGATTAAGCAATTTCCACATAAGCAAAAGTTGAGGGAATTTGCCTCCCACAAACCACCTATACAGGGTATTTTAGAGGGACTACCCTAGATGGAAGCACTCCTAAGGCAAAGTGGATGTCACCAGAGAAAATAAAATCACAACAAAGAAAGCAGACCAACCAAAAACTAACTAAAGGCAAAAAATAAAATCAACTACTCACAAAAGCAGTCAAAGTAAACACAAAAGAGCACAGAATAAAACACCTAACATAAAGAATGGAGGAGGAAGAATAAGAAGGGAGAGAAATAAAGAATCATCAGACTGTGTTTATAATAGCTAAGCAAGTTAAGTTAGACGCTACCCTTGAACCTTTCATAACCACAAATCTAAAGCCTGCAATGGCAAAATATACATATCTTTCAATAATAATCCTAAATGTAAACGGACTGAATACACCAATCAAAAGACACAGAGTAATAGAATGGATAAAAAAGCAAGACCCATCTATATGTTGCTTACAAGAGACTCACCTCAAACTCAAAGACATGCACAGACTAAAGTCTAGGGATGTAAAAAGATATTTCATGCAAACAATAGGGAGAAAAAAGCAGGTGTTGCAGTACTAGTATCAGACAAAATAGACTTCAAAACAAAGAAAGTAACAAGAGATAAAGAAGGACATTACATAATGATAAAGGGCTCAGTCCAACAAGAGGATATAACCATTATAAATATATATGCACCCAATACAGGAGCACCTACATATGTGAAACAAATACTAACAGAATTAAAGGAGGAAATAGAATGCAATGCATTCATTTTAGGACACTTCAACACACCACTCACTCCAAAGGACAGATCAACCAGACAGAAAATACGTAATGACACAGAGGCCCTGAACAACACATTAGAACAGATGGACCTAATAGACATCTACAGAACTCTACACCCAAAAGCAGCAGAATGCATGTTCTTCTCAAGTGCACATGGAACATTTTCCAGAATAGACCACATACTAGGCCACAAAAAGAGCCTCAGTAAATTCAAAAAGATTGAAGTTCTATCAACCATTTTCTCAGATCACAAAGGTATAAAACTAGAAATAAATTGTACAAAGAAAGCAAAACGGCTCACAAACACATGGAGGCCTAACAATATGCTCCTAAATAATCAATGGATCAATGACCAAATTAAAATAGAGAAAATAAAATAGAGATCAAGCAATATATGGAGACAAATGACAACAACAGCACAAAGCCCCAACTTTTGTGGGACACAGTGAAAGCAGTTCTAAGAGAAAAGTATATAGCAATCCAGGCCTATTAAAAGAGGGAAGAACAATCCCAAATGAATAGTCTAAAGTTACAATTATTGAAATTGGAAAAAGAACAAATGAGGCCCAAAGTCAACAGGAGGGATATTATAAAGATCAGAGAAGAAATAATTAAAATTGAGAATAAAACAATAGAAAAATTCAATGAAAGCAAGAGCTGGTTCTTTGAGAAAATAAAAAAAAAATAGATAAACCCATAGCCAGACTTATTAAGAGAAAAAGAGAATCTACACACATAAACAGAATCAGAAATGAGAAAGGAAAAATCACGACGGACCCCACAGAAATACAAAGAATGATTAGAGAATACTACGAGAAGGTATATGCTAACAAGCTGGAAAACCTAGAAGAAATGAGCAAATTCCTAGAAAAATACAACCTTCCAAGACTGACCAAGGAATAAACAGAAAATCTAAACAGACCAATTACCAACAACGAAATTGCAGCGGTAATCAAAAAACTACCCAAGAACAAAACCCCCGGGCCAGATGGATTTACCGCGGAATTTTATCAGACATACAGAGAAGACATGATACCCATTCCCCTTAAAGTTTTCCAAAAAATAGAAGAGCAGGGAATACTTCCAAACTCATTCTATGAAGCCAGCATCACCCTAATACCAAAAACAGGCAAAGACCCCACCAAAAAAGAAAATTATGAACCAAAGTCCCTGACGAACATAGATGCAAAAATACTCAACAAAATATTAGCAAACTGAATTCAGAAATACACCAAGAGGTTCATACACCATGATCAAGTGGGATTCATCCCAGGGATACAAGGATGGTACAACATTCAAAAATTCATCAACATCATCTACCACATCAACAAAAAGATGGACAAAAACCACATGATCATCTCCATAGATGCTGAAAAAGCATTCGACAAAATTCAGCATCCATTCATGATAAAAACTGTCAACAAAATAGGTATAGAGGGCAAGTACCTCAACATAATAAAGGCCATATATGATAAACCCACAGCCAACATCACACTTAACAGCAAGCTGAAAGCATTTCCACTGAGATCGGGAACCAGACAGGGATGCCCACTCTCCCCACTGTTATTTAACATAGTACTGGAGGTCCTAGCCACGGCAATCAGACAAAACAAAGAAATACAAGGAATCCAGATTGGTAAAGAAGAAGTTAAACTGTCACTATTTGCAGATGATATGATACTGTACATAAAAAACCCTAAAGACTCCACTCCAAAACTACTAGAACTGATATCGGAATACAGCAAAGTTGCAGGATACAAAATCAACACACAGAAATCTGTAGCTTTCCTATACACTAACAACGAATCAATAGAAAGAGAAATCAGGAAAACAATTCCATTCACCATTGCATCAAAAAGAATAAAATACCTAGGAATAAACCTAACCAAGGAAGTGAAAGACTTATACTCTGAAAACTACAAGTCACTCTTAAGAGAAATTAAAGGGGACACT